GCTGGCAGCCACACTGCCTCTTTGAGCCTGTGGCCCGGCAAGGTAGTCAGGCTCATGGGATTAGGTTGGCAGGAGCGACTGTCCTCTAAACGATTAGCCCAGAGAAAGAGAGAGAGAGAGCAAGCAAACCCGAAAACGGGTCCAGGGTAGAGAGCTCCAGGTCCTTAGCATGTTCCTGGCGTATTCCGAAAGTGGCATCCACAGCAGAGAAAGTGTCCCAAAATAGCTCAGGCTGCCAATGCCTTGCTGAAACCTGAGAAAGAATTGCTGAATTTAAAGATCTGGGTCGCTGTGGGTGTGTGATCAAAGTGCAGATTTGTTGGTAGGAGGAACTCAAGCCATGAGCTTAGGAGTGACATGAGGTCACTTGGGTCATGTCCTGCCTTCTTGTTTCCAACTTGCTGAAGTTGGTAGCAGTGTCAGAGAGCTCCTCTGTGGTGAGGCAGGGGTTTGGAAAGAGGTCCTAAGGATGCTGTTTTCATGCCCAGGTCTCTGATGCGCTAACAGTATGAAATAGCAGTGCTCTGTTTTCTGCATTTCAAACAAAGGAACTGATACTATGCAAAGGTTTCTTTAGGTTATTGCTCCATGACTGATGAAATTCCCTTTTCAGTAGATTTTTCATTTCTTTTGGCCTTTGGCATAAGTAAATGTCAGCTTCTTAAAAATCAACAGAGAAGAGCAAACAGTAGGGTCTCTGTGATTTTCTTGGGATTTGAGAAATCTCCCCTCCCTAGCTTCTGACTGGATCGTGTCTGTACATTGCTGCCTGTGGTCCTGGGAAGGATGAGGTCCATCCAGACATGCTGTCTCATTTTTATATTTGCTGAGATCTTGGGACACTGTCCTTTCATCAGGTATGTCAGAAACCTTAGGATTGTCTGCAGAGAGTGTGGTTCCGTATGTGGAAAGGTCAGCATATGTCATTCTTGGACTGGCCCTGGGGTTTAAGAAGAAAAAGCCCAGGATTTGGTTTCGAATCCCAACTCTGCCTGTCTTTTGCTGTATGAATTTGGGCGAGTCACTTCTCTTCTCTGGACCTCAGTTTCCTCTTCTGTAAACTGAAGACAATAATCTTCTTCCTAATTCTAACCCAAATGGTGTAAAGAGTAACTCAAAGAGTTGAAAGAATGCTACAAAGGGCAGGGTTTGGCACTTTCAGTAAGTGGTGACATTTTTCAGTTCTTCAAAGTCCCTGATTGGTAGCCACTACCTGCATCCACATGCCTATAGTGAGCCCAAGACATCCCACAGTACTAGGCACTATGAGCTTCATGTCTAAGAGTCTAAATAGTTTCCACTTTCAAGTTGTGGGACTTTTGGCAAGTAGCTCAATGCTTAGCAGCTCAGTTTTCCCATCTGTCAAGTGGGTATACAAAGTAGTAATAATACAGGTCCACAATCCCTTATCTGAAACTGTTGGAGCTAGACATGTTTTAGAGTTCAAAATATTTGGATTTTAGAAAAGCAATGTGGTACATATAACATATATATCACAGCTTAATGAGATCCAAGATTATACCCTGTCATCAAACTCATTAATATTTCTAAATGGGATAAATGAATAGCCTCATGTCATTTCAGGCCTAGTTTTGCCACCAAATGAGCTTGCCACAAAATTTCAGTTTTCAGAAGCTTTAGGATATCAGAGAGGCACATAGGAAATTGTGGACGATGAAAGAAGTATTTTAATACTTATTTTGTGCATGTAATGTACCAGATATTGTTCTAACTATGCATTAACTCATTTAGCTGACCCAATAAGCCTATGAGGTAAGAAGTATTATTTTATCATCCCCATTTCATAGATGAGAAAACTGAGATTCAGAGGTTAAATCACTTGCCCAGGGTCCCAAAGCCAGTTAGGAGCAATGCTGGGATTCCAACCCACACATTTCCGCTCTTATCCACCTTCTCTGCCTAATCCATGGGGTTAAATTGAGGCTTTAAATGCCTATAGGGGCCGAGCAGGTCACTGAAAAAGTAAAGGTGGCCCTATGGGTACTGAGGCAAACTGGTGAGCACATGCCTCACCTACAGGGAGCAGGTTGTTCAGCTCTGGCTGATTGTTGCTATATTGGAATTTGGATCAAAGTCTTTCTGTGTGTGTGTGTATGTGCACGCGTGCGCGTGTGTATGTGTGTTTCAGAGAAGCCAGAAATCTAGCTTTCTATCTGAAATTTCCTGACTTTTAAATGTTGGCAACTAATTTTAAAAAATGTTAAAAACATTGTACGGGTCAAATAAAATCTGTCTGCAGTCTGAATTTAGCCTGTGGCTGCCAGTTTTCAAGCTCTGCAATGAGTAAATAGATGTGAAAGTGCTTTGGAAACTTAAAAACGTGCTCTAGAAACAGAAGAGTCTAATTTTAGGGTTATATCTTGTTTTTTCCTTGACTGTGGTCTAGTTTTTAAAAAACTTGTGTTCCTGGCCTGATGGAGATGAAAAGTCAGAATTAAATAGAGACTTCAGTGAACTTCAGTACTTCATTCCTTTGGCAGGCTGGATAAATGAGAGGCCTAGGTGTACTGGATGGACTAAGCCTCAGAATTCCTGCCACACCCACAAGCCCCTTCTAAGGAGTTTCCATCCACAGACCCTAGCTGAGGGAAGTAGCAGTTTCTTATGAATAGGTGACTATGCTTGGTACCACGTGATCCTGCTTCCCCCTAGCAGTAGCCACTTGAGCCAGGAGAGGGCATCTGATCCATGAGCAGTCACTCTATAGGCTGGCAAATAGCCTATGAAGGAACCTGGGATGAGAACTTTGCCTAGCAAGTACAGTTACTGAATTTAGACCAATGAGAGTCTCTCTCTTGGGGAGTTTGAATACCAGACCTAGAAAGAGTGAGCAATTGGCAGCAAGGGCAGAAGCTGAACACAGAGAAGGCAGGCAGCAGGGACCCCGGATAAGCAGGACCAGGAGAGATTACTGAACTTCAGCTATGTGCCAGATTCTTTACACGTTGTTTTGTTTAAAACATTCAAAGAGCATGCGAGGTAGGTACTGCTATTATGCCTGTTTTACAGATGAGGAAACTGAGGTGAAATAACTTGAAGTATTGGGGTTCAAGCCCAGGCCTGTTTGAAGTTAAAATCAGAGTGTAGGAACCTCAAAGCCAGTGGTTCTGAAACTCTAGTGTTTCAGAATCACTTGGGTTAAATGCAGGTTCCTTGGCGTCACCCCAGACCTATATTGAATCTGCTCTTTGAGGATGGAGCCTCCTTCCCCTTACAAATCTGTGTTTTAGCAGTTTTCCCAGGGAGCACTTGATGCAGGGTTTCCCCATCACACTTTTATTTTGAGAAATGCAGTTTCAGAGGGTATGGCAAGTACTGTGTACTGTGCTACCTTTACCTACAGAATGAAGGTCAATGTCAACAGATGTGGTTAAATTCCAATTTAAAGTCTTGGAAATGGGGCCAATTATGTAAAGAAGAGGACATTAGTTTGTTCTCTTCTCTCATCAAGGAAGTCTGCATTGTTACCAGTTATTTGAGAGAAGATACGATTGAGATGAATGCCCAGTAGTTGTAAACATGATCGGATCTGCACTTCAGGGTGGGTGCAGAGCTAGCATATGTTCACTAAGCATTTTCCATGAGGTGCGTAAACTGTAGAAACTCAGTGCTCTGGCAACAAAGAACATGAGAGAAAATTACCAAATGCAGATAGACATATTGTAAACCATGGAGCTTAAAATGTAAACCTACTTGCTAGGCTGATCATAGAGGTTCTTCTCAGCCCTAGAGAATTTGTGTAAGAATCCCGTCCATGCCTTTATTTACACCATTGATTAAAAATGCTAATCAGAAGAGGATCAAGACTAGGGACCTCCTTCTAGGTTGTTGCAGAACTCCCACTCTGGCAATGGTATTCAACTGGTTTTGAATTTTTCTGCTTTAAGAACTGTCCCTGGGAAGACTAGTGGTCTGAAGTTTGCTTGGAGAGTCTCAAGCCAGAAACTGATTTGTGGTCCAAATGCTTAATGGCATCAGACACATATTCCTACAAGAGAGACATGTGGTCCAAGGGGTGGCACAGGTCAAATGTGATGGCCAAGTCCCGCCTCAGCAGGGCTTGAATCCGCACTTGGCAACTTTTATTTCTCTCTGTCCGTTCTTGTGGATAGTTTATCTGTGTTAATGTCCTCATTTAGGCTAAGGTCAAACTCTGTTCTTCTCTCTTCTGGCCAGAAAGACTTCCTGTTTTACAGGTATATGATCTTCTCTGTGTTGATATTTTAACTCTGAGTGATTCTCTAAAGCAGGTCCTTGGACAAGTGCCCATCTTCCAGGAAAATTGCAGCAGTCCACCGTGCAATGAGAAAGCCTGAGGACTAGGTAGAAAATGTTTCGCAGAGAAGAGAAATCTATTTGCTGTATTATTCTTTATTCTGAGGTTATTTCCTTCTCTTTTGACATTGAAGCCCTTTCCTTTTAGAAAATGATGACGTGTGGTTGTTTTGTTCCTTAATGCTTTTACTTGGGAAAATAAAAATCTGGGAGTTCAATATCAGCCCCTCAAATTTTGGGTTGCATTAGCTGCAAGTCTGGGAACTGGTCTAATTTTGAGTGTTCTGCTAGCACCCCTAGGTACCTCCTATTGCCACTTATGTTCTAAGTGCTTATAAATTACCTGCTTCGTAATCTGCAGCAGAATCTCTCCGAGGACTGACATCAAGCTTACAGCTCTGGAGTTTACGGTATACTGGTCTGTAGTTTCCTTATTTAAGAAAATTGGGACACTGCCCATTTGCAGTCCTCTGGTATCCCTCCTGTTCTCTTTGATTCCACAGATCCTTCAGGCCGGCACCTAATGCAAGGCAGTTCCGTTTGCTCTTCTTATAATGTTCTTTTCCCTATAGAGTTGGACATGCATATACATGTTGTTTGGGGAATTTGCAGCACATCCAATGAAAGCATAATTCCCAACTAACAGTCAAATCCTTTTCTTTGGAGCTACCCGGAACACACCTACCCTCTCTTCCATATGACAGCCCTTCAGAGACTTGAAGACAGTGTGTGACTCTCCTGTGAGTTAAGAGCACTGGCTGAGTCAGACAGACCCGAGTGACAAGCCCAGCTTCACTCCCTCTCAGCGGTGAGAGCCAAGGTAAGTTACTTCATTTTCATTTCTCTGTAGTTCAGTTCTTTAGCTGATTTAGAAAATGGGAGTAAAAAAACCACTTTATTGGTTTATCGTTCAATAAATAAGATGAGGTATGTAAAGTGTTTAACATAGTGCCTGGCATAGTAAGCACTCAGCAAATGCTAGCTATTTCCCCCTCTTTATTTATAAAGAGCCGATGGGCATTTTAAGTGTCAGGGCTGTGGGGGAGGAAGGAAGTGGGGAGAGTTTCTACTTCCCTGAATGATCAAGGAAGGCAGAAGATCCTAAAGTAGACCAGGTATTTCTTTAGCCTTAGGTTGTCTGTTTTCAGTTATCTGGTTGCCTATTTGCTAGGGCTTAGGGAGAGAATATTGTTGAGAATCTAGGTAAAGGCTTATTTTCAACAGCTGGAAAGCTATTTGTTGACATATTGAACCAGCTCTTGTTTATTCTTATTTCCCCGAGCAGCTAGCCATGCAATCCCCTAAACTCAATTACCTTTTGTGAGGCGGCAGGAGCATGACACCTCCTAGCCGTATTGATCAGTGCAGACTGGGTGGGACGTGAGGGACCTGAGAGATGCTAAGCAGCAAATTCTGGGCTTTTCCTTCCTTAGAAGGCCTCTCTTCTCTGTGTTCCTAGAGACTCTGGCTTTAATAGAACAGAAGTCTATGCCTCACATGGGCTGAGCAAGCAAGAACCCTCTCTCAGTAGCCTCCTTAGAAGCGGGCTGATGAAAATAGTCACAATGGGCCAGAACTTGGAACCCTGGAGTGACCAGTGCCAGCATGGTTTTCTAACTGCAGCTCTTTGCACACACTGGGTTTTGCAAGCAATTGAATGATATGAACTCTGAATGCCATTGCAGCTAGAGAAAGTTTGGAAGGAGACACACCCAACTGTGAACAGACAGAGGAATGGGACTTGCGGAGGATGGGGGGTGGGTGGGGTGGGGCATTTTCAGGACTTTAGCTTTATCCGTATGCAGGATTTCAAGTCTTTATCCTAAGACTATATTCCTAGATTACTTATGTAATTATTAAACATAAATAAAAGTTAGAGAAAGAAGAAATTATTTTTAAAAACAAACCAAAAATAAAACAGAAAATAAAGTGGTACAACCATTAAGCTTGTTGGGGTAGAAAGGTTGCTTGGGTTGGGGGGGCGGTGGATGTTGGGGATTCCTAGAGAGAGCTTGCAAGCAATGGAGTGAAAAGGGCTTGAGAACGAACCCTAGGGAAACATATCTTTAAAAAAAATAAAATTAACTTTTATTAGTTTTTCTCTTTTTGTATTATGGGTCCATTATAGACCAATGAGAAAATACAGATAAGGAAAATAAAAATAAAAAATCCCCTCTAATCCCATCATTCAACTATGGCCACTGTTGGCGTTTGGTATACATCTTTCCAGATTTTATTTTTTTTCTATGCAAAAGTCTACGTATTTATCTTTATGATAATCAGATCCTCATGTACACATTAGAATATATTTTCAATGGCTATAATAATGGCTGCTACAATTGCACCATGATTCATTTAATCATTAAATGAGTTGTATCCTAACATTAGACACTTAAGTTATTTCCAAAATTGTTGCATTAGAACATAAACAGTGCCCTGCAGCTGTGTGACATTGGGAAAGCTAGTTAACCTCTCTGTTTCTCTGGTTTCTCATCTGGAAAATGAAGGTGCTAATAGAACCTACCTTGTAGTATGTTGTGAGTGTCAAATGATATCATGTAGGTAAAGTACTTAGCACAGGGCCTGGCACAGTAAATGTTAGCTTTTATTGTTAGGTGTGTTAATAATAATAATAATAGTTGTTGTGAGGCCATTGTTAATAGAATGGCTATTCTGTGACTTTTATGTATTTAATTTTTTTCTTTGAGGGGAGAGGAGAGTGACTGGAATTTTTCTTTTGTGTAGTATACTATAGTGAGCTCTGGAGTCACACAGAGCTGTGTGCTTTTGGTCATGTCAATTCATCTCACGGAGGCTCAGTTTCCTTACCTGTGTACTGAGAATTTAAAGGATCTAGCTCACAGGGTAATTGTAAAGATCAAATGAGATAATGCTGGTGAAGCCCTCAGCCCCATTCTTGGCATATGGGAAGAGTTCAAGGAATATCAGTAGTTGTTGTTGTTATTATTACTACAAGGATTCAGCTATTTGTAGTAAGAAAGTTTCCTTGCTTTGTGGTGTGGGGATGTGGGGGCGATGGCAGTGAGTAGAGTACTCTGAGTTTCTAATCACTTGTCTGATTACAAAGAGATAAAATTATTTTGGAAACAGAATGGCCAGGGCTGAAATCTGGGCTTTTAAAAAATTATTATTATTATTATTTTATGTGACTGTGGTCACATAGCCTTCTCCAAGCCCATTTCCTCATGTATAAAATGGGAATGACCTCAATGCCTACCTTACGCGTGTTGCTGGGAGGTCGGAATTACATAATGCATGTGTAGTGCTTAGCCCAAGTGCTCAGTTGTTGTTGGTTGCTAATGATGAGGTTTATAACGACCTGAATGCCTCCCTTGTCAAACTCTATATCCCTATACCTGGGCTGCTTGAACTTCACCTGGAGGCTTTGACCTATCCAAGGCTCAGGGACCAATTCTCCTTAGACTGAGGGTTTCTCCCCTGAGACTGAGTGCACCAATTCAGGAAAACTGGAGTACTCCGGTAAACCTTTCTGCTAGCTCTACTCTGACCTTGTGCCCCAGTTCTAGAAAGCAGGCTGTAGCCCTATTTGTATGAACAAGCCCTCACCTGGTATGCTCAAGGCTGGTGTGTTTTTCTTGCTAGCTGTCTGAAATCCATGGAGCCTTTCTGTTGAATCCTAGTCCTGTGGCAGGGATCTGGTTGCTGGATTTTTCTCTGTGTCTCTGACCCTGGGGTAAATTGCCTTTGTTATGATCACCATTACAGGGCTCTCTTAAGGTGTTTGCTTGCCAGCCCCCACTGTCCATCCTCCCAAACCCTCTTTCCCTGCACCTGAACCTCTTTGAACGTTTCTGATGCTGTTCCACTCAATCTCCAGACTCAGTTTCTTTCCCTCGAGCCCTCTGCCTGTGCTTCCATGTCATATCAGTTGCAGTGTCTGGGTCCCAGGACTCCTGTGTCTACTCAACCGCAGAGGGCACATATCTTGTTTCCTGAGCTGGGACCCTTTTCATCGCATCTTTTTAATTGTGTCAGTCTCCTCTTTTCTTTGGGTAGAGTGGGGTGGGGCATACGCTGGTGGGACTGTTTGGGGTGACAGGGAAGAGGGGTGGAGTTGCATAGGCCAAGTGCTAAAGCGGAGCTTCTGGAGGACTGTCAAGTGAAAGGCGGCCAGAGGCAAATGTCAGAGCCTATATAGAGGCAGGAATCTGGGACCAGAGAGACAGAGCAAGCAGTAGCAAGTCAGGAGCAGTGGGGCGGGTGGGCGGGCAGGCTGGCTGGCGGGCAGGGGGGCGTGGCAGGGGATAGCAAAGGGAGATTGCAGAGAACAGCTGTTGGTACTGGGTCTTTAATGAACTGGCTGGGCACGAGGTATAAGTTAATTGACCATAGTAAAAGAGCTAGGGGTGCAAAGGATACTCTCTCCCTCTTCTCCGTCACTGGCAAGGTAAGATCTTTCTGGGTTTTGCCTGGTGGGAAACTGTGGCATGTTCAGAAATTTTTCTGAAGATGGGAGGTGGAGGTCTATGGCCACTCTTTTGACTCATCTTTCCCATTGCACCGATTATTACAATAACCAGGGTGTCAGCAGAAGGCCCGCATTTCTTTTGCGACAACCCATCTTGGGGTTGTCCAGGCTGGAGACAGAGGCAGGGGACTTGGTAGTGTGACTGAGTAAGGGGGAGAGGTGGATCTTTATAGCACAGCGGTGAAGAGTAGGGGGCTCTGTGGATGGAGCCAGGAATCTATGTGACCGCAGGCAAATTATCAAGCTTCTCTGGGTCTGAATTTTCTTATTTGTAAGATAAAGGACGGGTACAACCGAAATCTCTTAGTGTTGCTATGGGGACCACATGAGATGATACATGTAAAGTGCCTAGCACAGTGTTTGCCAGTCAGTGCATGCTAAAGAAATGTTCACTGTTAGCATTTCTGTTGCAAGTTTTCTCATTATTATGGAATCACAATTCCATGAGGTTGATGACTTTTGTGACATTGTCCCAAAGTAGCAAGTTTTCTGCTTTTGGCATGAGCAGGCTGTGGGGACATATCAACATTGTGTAATATTTGCATTGGCTTCCAAGTCGTGTGTCCAAAAGCCCCTTCTGGGGCTGCCTATTAGAGCAGACTGGAGGGGTGAGGCTCTGGATCGCCCACCCCCATGTCATCAGAGAAACTTGAAACTTGGACATGCTAGAGACTGGGCTTTAAGTGACCCATGGTCTAGGATGTCAGAGAAATAATTGAATGCAAGCTCAGGGATGCCAAACACTAGGCAACCCCCAGGAGGGGGTCACAGTCAATGATATACAGTTTGTTACTGTTGCAGTGACCCTATTTTAGCCTTGACCCTGGATAATCTGAGAAAGCTGGTAAAATGGGGATAATAGTATCTATTGCCCAGGAGATTGCAAGAACCAAATGGGATAATGCTTACAAAGGCCCTTATGTTATAGGAAGTTGTGAACAGTTGTCTAAAGTACAGTGCCTGGCACATACTATGTGAAGCAATAAATAAATAGTAGTAATGGGGTGGTGGTTGCTGTTATTAATAAGAATAATGAAGACAATAAGCAGAATTTTCAGTTCATGGAATGTTGCTCTCAGTTATTGATCAGATAAATGTCTCCCTTTTCCTGAGGAGAACATTCAGGGCCATCAGAGTAGTAAAATGAGGATTAAACCGTTGGCAGAATTCAATGAACTCCAGGAACTAATGATTATCCTGGGGCAAAGGACTTTCTTATTCAGGCCTGCCAGTACCTTGGCTGGCTTGTGAGTACTGCCGTGGGATAGAATACAGGCCAGGAACCTGCATTTCTCACACTTGGCCAGAAGGTGGTGCTGCTGCTTTATTTGAGTCAGGACTGCCCAGGCTCCTGGCTGCGGAGGTTGCTGGCGTTTACAGCATTTACAAACTGAGAGGCTGTGGGTTGGTTTGAAAAGGATAGAGGCAGAAGGGATATTTGCTCCAACGCCAAAGTTGTTCATTGCTTCACAGCTTCTTTAATCTGATAGCCTCACCTTCAATGCCGTATACCTGAGAACGCATAAAAACGGGTCTCCATGAGCAATTTGTCTATTTCCCAATCTTCTTGATACTGACTTTTGACCTCTAAACTTGTTTCTTATTTACAGGTTTTCTTGCCGCTTGGGCTCCTTCCACACTGTCCTGTGGCTGTGGTAGATATGTCAATACCCTTACATTCACTGCGATTCAACAATACAATGAAGGAGGAAAATGTTGAGCCCCAAAACAAGCCGATGGCCGTCTCTGGACCAATGACGGAGACCAGAGCAGACGTACAGATTCTGCATTCTCATGTACAGTTGCCTATAGTCTCAACTTCAGCCTCAGACCCTGCAGGGACATCCACACAGTTGATGACATCTCCAGCCTTTGACACCATGTCTGCACCTCTAATGGGAGTACCAAACTCTGGAGCATTGTCCCCATCCCTAATGCCAGCCTCAGACTCTGGGACACTTTCCCCATTGCTAATGCCAGCCTCAGACCCTGGGGCACTGTCCCCATTGCTAATGCCAGCCTTAGATTCTGGAACATTGTCGCCATTGCTGTCCGCTTCAGAGTATGGGGTAATGTCCCCAGGGATGATGACAATTCCTGACTTTGGAACGATGTCCACAACACTAATGGTAGCACCAGATTCTGCAGAGATATCACCATTGGCAATGCCAGCTCCATCCTCTGGAGCGATGTCTACACCTATAATGAGCACTTCATCCTCTGAGGCAATGTCCACACCATTAATGCTAGCCCCAGATTCTGGAGAGCTATCCCCAATTCTAATGCAAGATATGAATCCTGGAGTGATGTCTACACAGCCAGTGCCAGCTCCCAGCTCTGAGGCAATGTCCCCATTGCAAATTACAGATGAAGACACCGAAGCAATGTCCAAAGTGCTAATGACTGCTCTAGCCTCTGGAGAGATATCCTCGCTGCTAATGTCAGGCACGGACTCTGAAGCAATATCCTCACTGATAATGTCAGCCCTAGCTTCTGGAGGAACGTCACCCCAGCCAACAAGCACCCAAAACTCTGGGGGAATACCTACCCCTCTCATGTCAGAGCTAGACTCTGGAATAATGTCTTCACTTTTAATGTCAACTCCAGGTTCTGAAGTAATGTCCACACCACTACTGTCAGTCCCAGATGCTGGAGAAATGTCCACATTACCAAAGCCAGCTCCAGATGCTGAAGCAATGTCCCCAGCAGTAATGACAGCTCTACCCTCTGCAGTGATGCCCACCCAAACGATGCCAGCCCCAGGCTCTGGAGTGATGTCCCCATGGTCAACACAAAATATAGACTCTGAAATCATATCTTCTCTGCCAATGAGAGCAACAGCCTCTGGGGAGATGCCTGCACCACCAGTAAGAGCTTTAGACTCTGGAGCAATGTCCACACCGCTAATGGGAGCCCCAGCCTCTGGAAATATGTCTACATTGCAAAAGACAGTTCCAGCCTCTGGAGCCATGACCACCTCACTGATGACAGTCCCAAGCTTTGGAGTGATGTCCACAGAGCAAATGTCAACCACAGCCTCTAGAGTAATGTCTGCACAGTTAACAATGGCCAAAACTTCTGGAGCAATGCCCACAGGCTCTATGAAAGCTGTGGCAAAACAACGCGTGAGAGCCACAGCCTCTAGAAAGACGTCCAAGCCACGGAGGAGAGCTCCAGCTTCTGGAGCAACGTCCACCCAACGAGTTATGGACACAGCCTCTGAAACAATGTCCGTGCCACAATTGACAGTCCCAGCCTCTGGATCAATGTCCATGCTGCAAATGAGAGCCCCTGTCTCTGAAGCAATGTCCATGCCACAAATGAGAACCATGGCCTCAGGATTGACATCTGCACCACAGATGAGAGCCATGACTTCTGGAGCAATGTCCACCCCACTAATGACAGCCCAAACCTCTGGATCAACATCCGCCCTGTTAATGAGAGACACAGCCTCAGGAGTGATGTCCTGTCCACAAATGAGAGCTCTGGCCTCTGGAGCATTGTCCAAGCCACTAATGACGCCCAAAGCCTCAGGAACGATGTTCACAGAACAAATGGCAACCACAGCTTCTGAGGCAATGCCCACACTGCTAATGAGAGACACAGTTTCTGGAGCTCTGTCCATGCCGCAAATGACAGACACAGTCTCTGGAGGGTTGTCTGCGCTGCTAATGAGAGACACAGCTTCTGGAGCAATGACCACATCACAAATGACAGCCACAGTCTCTGGAGGGATGTCCATGCCACTAATGAGAGCTCAAGACCCGGGAGTAACGCCTGCCTCACTAATGAGAGCCAAAGCCTCTGGAAAGATGCTCGGTCAGCCAATGAGCACCCAAGATCCTGGAGGGATGTCCATGTCTCCCATGAGATCCATGACTGCTGGAGGGATGCAGATGAGTGCCCCAAACTCTGATGTGATGTCCACACCAACAATGAGAGCCTGGACCTCTGAAACAATGTCCACGCCACTAATGAGAACCTCAGACTCTGGAGAGAGGCCCTCACGGCTCAAAAGAGCTCCATCCTCTGGAAAGATGTCCCTACCACTAATGAGAGCTCCAGCTTCTGGAGAGATACCCACGTCTCTGAGATCCTCAGCTTATGGAGCCATGTCTGCTCCACAAATGACAACCACAGCCTCTGGAATGATGTCCATGCCACAAGTGAAGGCTCCCATCTCTGGAGCAATGTCCATGCCACTAACAAGATCCACAGCCTCTGGAGGGATGTCCATGCCACTGAGGAAAGCCCCAGGCTCTAGAGTGACATCCACATCACAAATGATGCCCACAGCTTCTGGAGACATGTGCACACTACCAGTGCGAGCCTCAGCCTCTGGAGGGATGTCCCCACCACTAGTAAGAGCTCCAGCCTCTGGAACTATGTCCACACCACTAAGGAGACCCTCAGCCTGTGAAACTGTGTCCACAGAGTTAATGAGAGCTTCAGCCTCTGGACATATGTCCACTGCACAAACAACAGCCATGGTCTCTGGAGGGATGTCCAAGCCATTAACGAGAGCCCCGGCCTCTGGAACGATGCCCATGCCTTTAATGTCAGCCATGGATTCTGGAGAGATATCTATGCCGCTAATGGAAACCATGGCCTCTGGAGCAATGTCCACATTGCAAACCAGTGTTGCGAACTCTAGATCTATGTCCTTGCCACAAACAACATACACAGTGTCTGGAGGGATGGCCACAGCGCCAATTAGAGCCTCTGCTTCTGGAGCAATGTCCACATCATTTATGAGACCCTCAATTTCTGGATCGATGCCCATGCCGCTACCGAGAGCCACAGCCTCTGGATGTGGCATGGGGATGTTCATGCCACAAATGACAGCCACAGACTCTAGAGGGAGGTCCATACCACTAATGAGGGCCTCAGGCCCCAGAACAATGTCCACACCACAGACAGCCTTTGGAGTGAGGTCCACTCTGGAAACCAAAGCCACAGACTCTGGAGAGGCTTCCATCTCTCACAGTAACATCACAGCCTCTGGATCAAAGCCCACACCGCACGTGACTGCCACAACTCCTGAAACTATGAAACCACCACCAAAGGAAGTGCCATCCTTCGGAATGTTGACCCCAGCACTCTGTTACCTCTTAGAAGAGCAGGAAGCAGCCCGGGGCTCATGCTCTGTGGAGGAAGAGATGGAGATTGATGAGGAGAAGCAAATGAAGGGGTTTTTGGACGATTCAGAGAGAATGGCATTTCTGGTGTCTCTTCATCTGGGAGCAGCAGAGAGGTGGTTCATCTTGCAGATGGAGGTAGGAGAACCTCTCTCAGATGAAAATAAGTCTTTCCTGAGAAGATCCCAGGGCGTATATGACTCCCTATCTGAGATAGACATCCTCAGTGCTGTTCTTTGCCATCCCAAACAGGGCCAAAAGTCAGTCAGGCAGTATGCCACTGACTTCCTGCTGCTGGCCCGACATTTGTCTTGGTCTGATGCCATTCTACGGACCAGATTTCTGGAAGGACTCTCAGAAGCTGTTACCACCAAAATGGGTCGGATCTTCCTGAAGGTGGCTGGCAGCCTAAAGGAGCTGATAGACAGGTCTCTGTACACCGAGTGCCAGCTGGCTGAAGAGAAGGATTCCCCAGGCAACTCAAGCCAGGTTCTGCCAACAGCCTGTAAGCGGAATAATGAGGAGGCCATGGAGGATGAACTGAGCTCTCAGCAGCAGACTGAGGAGGTAATGAGGGGGAAATCCACCGAAGGTTTTTGAGCAGAGAAATGAGGAGGTCACGACAAGGAATACATCCTGCTTCCTTGAGTAGAATCGGGAAGAGGCAAGGGGGAGGCATGGAGCTCCTAGACCATTAAACCCTAAGCTGGAGTTTCATCAAGTGAGCATGGCTCTGCAGTTATTTTGGGTATGTTAACTACTTTGAGGAGCAATGTCCTGCCCAAGTTACTGAGGACGTGGGATAGTTGAAGTACGAATTCTTCTCATTATGAGGGAACTGGCTGGGCTCAGTTCCAATTCTCCCCTTGTTCCAAGTCCAATTCTAATAAACGGGTCTTTTGGGAGCTGGGGCCCATCTACAGCAACAGGTGCTGTGGAGTCAGGTCACTAAGGAATTAGAATAGCCTACTCCTTGGTCACACTGTATGCAAGTCAGACAAATTAGCAAAGTGCCTTGATCTGCTAGGTTACAGAACTTATCCAGGCAGAACACCCCTTGTCATAGTAAGTGTGGCTCTTACCTCTGTTGTCTTTTTCTCACTTGCAGCACCAGCATGTTCCCAAACGCTGTTACTACCTGAAAGAGCACGGAGACCCCCAAGAAGGTCTTCATGACCACCTTGGACAGAGCACAGGCCATTATCAGAAGGCCCATACCAACAAGTAAAACTCCATGGAATCTTCTCCTGTGATATCTGACTCGACTGCTAACTGGAGGACTGGTTCCTGGACCCATTCCATTCAACTACATCATAAACCTTGTTGCCTTCACCCTTCAGCCTCCCGCTCCAGGCACATCCCACCTTACCTCTCACTTGGCTGATTTGACCTTCTCTTTCACCCACATGCCTATGACCTGCCCTGACAATCAGAGTGTGGACCACAGGAGTGTATGGTGTATGAAGTTTTGAACTCCCATCACCACCGAGGCCAGTACTAGTTCTTGGTCCAGGGAGAAGTCTAGGCAGGATAAATCATATCTTACCTCAAAACCCCTTAGTGTATCTTGCCATGTGTCAGCAGGCAAACTTGAGGAAGCCCTGGTTCTATTTCACCTGGCAGGGGAGCCTATAAGGAGAGTGATGCCCACTCCTATACCACCCTAGTAACCCAGTAGACTTGCCCTGTATGCCCCAACTCATAGCACCTAAAATGGGTCTCCAGGGTCCTTGCCCTGTTTATAGTATCCATCCTGAACCATTCGTTTTGACCCATAATAATAATTATAGTGATAGTATGATGGCTACCAGTTATTGATAATGTATCTATCATGTGACAGGCATTGGGCTAAACTCTTGACAAGCACCATCTCACTACATTCTTACAGTAACACAACTTGTTCTTGTGTTGTCAGCTTCTGACCTCTTGATCTGTTGTTTCTGGCCTTTGTTGTGTCCCTCAGTGCGCGTTCTCCAGCTCACCTCTGGGTGACCCCCTCAGTTGTTGATTGCTCTCACTCCCCTTGGCTGTTGTGCTTCATGGCCAGCACTCTTGATGAGGGTCTTGGTCTATAAACAGGCATAGATAGTTAGAACATAATGTGAGCAGTGTTTGCCTTCAGGTGGTGGGGTTATGGGTAGTTTTTATTTTCTTCTCTCTACTTCTCTATACTTTTCAGATTCTCTACAGTAAGCATGTATTACATTTATAATTATAAAAGTAAATAAACTTCATTTATGAAAAAAGAGTTCATGTGGCTCCTAGAATTTGATTTACTGAGTCCTTTATTCCACCAATATTAGTTATGTAACTTATGTCAGCTACTGTTTGGGGGACAGACAGATAAGAATCCTGCTGATATGAACATTCCATTCCAATGGAGTGGGGAGAACAAGAACACACTGAACTTAGATTGGAGTTGTGAAAGCTGTGAAGAGAAGAAATCAGGACAATGGGGAATTTGATGCAAATAGGACCAATTTATGTATTCAATAGTAGTCCATATAATTGAGTTACTCAATAATCTTTCAACAACAGTAGGAGAGACATGATTAGAAACTTATTTTGGATAGTTAAATTGGCAACAGTTTGGAGACAGGATGGAGGAAGGGATCAGAGAGCAGCTGAGCCCTCTACTTCAATAGTCCACGTAACTGACTGGCTGGGTGACTTAATCTAGGGTGGTGGCAGTAGAGATGGTAATTCATGGACAGTGACCTAACCTTCTCTGAGTACTCAAGTCCACTGCTCCAGGACTCAAGTCCTCTGCTCCATTACCCTTAACTTTGGGTCTGATTTCAGGAAGAGGAAAATGATACTCAGGAAAGACAGATTGGCAGACAAATTGGCAGCCCCTTGATACTGTACATAAGAATCTGGCTGTGTGGGTTGCCTGCAGCTGCCTCAATCACCAGTGCTTTTGCCTCAGGAAAGAGAAGGTGCGATAAGTCAGGAAATACGAATTCCAGAGAGATGGCTGGCCCCTGGGGACCCAGCTTTCCCCCTCTTCTCTGGGTCTGTTGGCTCACACCTAGCCCAGTCCAAGACCGAGTGGAGTTTGGACGTCCTTTTTCGGCCAGGATTGCTTTTAGCTAGGAAAAGCACTGTCGAGTTTTCTCTTTGCTGAAAGAGAAATGGATAATATAGAATTTGCAGCTTATGCCTGGAAAATGTATACAGAAAGGACAATGTCCTAAAAATGAACTTTATTTTCTTATAGCCATGCTAATGGAGAAGGATGGCAATTCTTTTATTTATTTTTCTCCCTAGCCATTCTTCTTCTTATTGTTTTTGCTGTCCTCTCCTTCAAGCTAACGTCACTAGAGATAAATGGAACAAATGAAGCCCAATCATACCCTGCCAGAGCTCAGTCCCTGTTCTTCTACCCATCCTAAAGGTTTTATTTAGAAATGTTTCAAGAGCCCCTCAGCATCTACATGGAGCTGGGCTATTATATGCCCAAGTACTTGACACCATTTCATCTGCTATAAAATGGAGTTTCAAGTTTTTCCAGGCCTCACTGGTCCGCGGGCAAAAATAATGTCCCATAAGCAGGAAAATCTTGGATGTGATGGACCACTGTCACCACCTGTGTTACAGGATCTCAATCCCTTGAAGGTTTCCCCCAATTATTTGTGGCAGATTTCAGAAGTTTCACATGCTCTGAGATAGTCCTCTCCTGTTGTTCTTTGACTCCTACCCTGTCCCATGGGGGTCAACTGCCCACATTGCCACTTGAGGGGAGCCACTACACCCCACCCAGATACTGGCAGGTGCTTCTGGCTGTGAGAACACAGAAACCTCTCTTCAGAGGAGGCGTGGATTCTGGAGTGTTCACAGCTGCACACCTGAGTGGAGCCTAAGTGGTGCTGCCTTCTCTTTGGTAGCCTTGGCTGACAGAACTGATGGCTGCCCCCGAAGGGTGGAAATGCCTCTTGGAATTCTGTGCCACACATTATGACCTGGACACCCAAAAAAACATTGCTTCTACCACACGTCTCAGTGAGGCCTGCATAAGAAAAACAGCTTCAGCTTCTACCTGCACCAACATCTCCCTGACCTTGCTCAAACGTTCAGACTTGGTTCCTGTGCCAAGAACAAAGGCCCTCAGGTCCTCTATCCAGACCCACGCTTCAGTCCCCATTTCTGTGTTCTTCTACCTGGTCTCTACTCCTGCTGAGTAGAGACTCACCCAAGGTGCTGTAAATCCAGATTTCTTCCAAATCACTTTGTTCCAGGTGATGAAATGCCAGGAACCCTCTCCACACAACCAATCTTTGGGGCACAGTGGGAGAGCAAATGTCAACCTTTCCTCTTCCTTCATCCTTCTGCCATCCTGTCACCCACCAACCTTGTCTCTGTTTCTGCTCCTCAGGGAACAGCATAGAGAACTTTCTCTTAAAGACCACTATTCCCATACAAGTACAGGCTCAGGCTCAGGCTGCTGCTGAATGATGAATGCCTCAGACAGTTTCCAGTCACTTCTGAGTTTCACTTTGGGCTCAGCCAGGCTCAGTCCACTGGACTACTGGACTACACTGGACTACTTTGATCAGATCAAATGAGGGACCCTTCCCCTCCATTTCTTCCAATACACCATTGCTTCAGACATTGAGGCACTTTCAACCTCATTCTGCAATCAGAATATTACAGATAAAATAACTCATGCTATAGAGAGACTAGTCCCCCTATGGATTGTGTGTTTTCTTCCTCCTCACATGGTCTGAAAGCAACTTGAACAATTGTGGGACAGGGGAAGCAAGCTGCTAGATCTCTTATGACCAAAGGGAAGATTTATAGAATAGATACTGTAGTAGTTTGAAATGACACTGGATGGGGAGACTTTTCTTTTTCTGTCTTTTTTTTTTTTTAATTTTTAAATTTTTTTAGACAAAATCTTGCTCTGCTGCCCAGGCTGGAGTGCAGTGGTGCAATGTCAGCTCATTGCAACCTCTGCCTCGTGAGTTCAAGTGATTCTGGTGCCTCAGCCTCCCGAGTAGCTGGGATTACAGGTGCCTGGCACCATGCCTGGCTAATTTTTGTTATTTTTAGTAGAGACAGGGTTTTGCCATGTTGACCAGGCTGGTCTCGAACTCCTGACCTCCAGTGATGTGTCCGCCTTGGTCTCCCGAAGTGATGGGATTTACAGATGTGAGCTACCAAGCCCAGCCAAGACTTGACTTTGAGTACTTCTGTCTCTCCCTCTAACAAGCTGGATAGTTTTAAACAGGCAGGACACTGTATCTCTTGAGACTTCAGTTTCCTCTTCTCTAAAATAGGAGTAATTATTGTTCTGCAAACCTCGCAGCATTGTGGGGTAAAGATTTGTGATAGTGCTTGGAAAAATCAAATGCAAGACATACAAATGTAAGAGCTTGTTACTGTCTGTTGAGGGGGATCAGACTATGCCACTCCCAAATGTGTCACTTTAGCATTGTGATTATTTTGAGCTGAGGGCAATTAAGAAGTGCAATTAAGGAGTAGCAAATGCAGAAAGAGTTCTTTGCACCCCCATATGCGTTAAAGTAGGACGTAAATTTCCCTTTGTGAAGATGTTTCTCCTCTCCTCTCCTGTACCATGAAAAAACAACCATCATCACTAGAGACAGAAAGTCAGCACGAACATAGGTCTGTATAAACAAACTTTTCTAAAACAACCTGTATCTTCTATTAGTTTCATATATATATAATATATAATACATATGTTATGTATTACATATATATTATATCTAGTTTTTGAGGGTACAAGTGGTTTTTGGTTACACGGATGAATTGTATAGTGATGAAGACTGAGATTTTAGTGTACCTGTCACCCAAGACACTCATATTTACCTTCCCACAATTTACTTCCCCTAGAAGCCCAAACCTCTTTTCCTTTGTCTTGTCACTTCTCTATAAATTATCACCCTTTGTTAAAATGGCATATAAGCCTGCAGATCTTACCACTTCTTTGTGTCTTCAGTTCTTTTCTCTGAAAGCCCCTGTGCATGTAACAATTGAAATATTAATATCAAACAAAATTTGCATTTCTTTCCTCCTGTTAAAATCTGTCTTTTATTAGTGTGATTTTCAGGTCCCAATTACAGAACTAAGAAGACAGAAGAAAAGAATGTTTCCTCTCTTACATTTTCTTGGCCATGAGGGTGTTGGGAAGTGCATGGGTTAGGATAGGACTAGTTGGGACATATTCAGAATCCAATCTCTTTAGGGGTTCTATTTAAACTGTGAGGGCAGATTTACAAGTAAATCCAACACAGAAAACTGGCAAAAGCCACAGTTTAATATTAGCACCTCTGGAGCACTTAACTATTGAGCACTTAACACAGGCTCAAGCGCTAGACTAATTAAATTATCTAGATTATCTCATGTAATCTTTACAACAAGCCTGAGAAGTGGATGGTCTCATTAATCCTATTTTACAGAGCAGGAATCTGAGTCACAGAAAGGATAAGTAACTGGCCCAAGGCTACAGAGCTAAGAGGCAGCAGAGCTGGGATCTGAGCACGTGCAATCTGACCCTAGAGCCTACACATGCAATGCTCCACTGTATGTACAGCTTCGTTATTCAGAGCCAGATGGCTCCTGTGAGCATTCACCCTCTTCTCCTGAACAAATTTGCCACCGAACAGCAACCGATATTTGAAGTTCATAAAGTTGGAGGTCTGAGCAAAAATGGCCCTGCTTTTCTCCTTCTCTGTCTTAGATCCAGATGTGAATCTTCCTGGAGGTATTTGGGGGAATGTCTTCAATATTCAAGGAAAAGAATCAAGAGTTGCAGAATTCTATTGAGCTCAAGAGATTCTGCCAAGGATCTCACTGTAGCCTCAGAGTGCAGTAGTCTCTGTTCTGAGCTCTGGCCTAAGAAGGAGGATAAGATTCTTTCCTAAACATCTTCCCTTTGAGCAGATACGCATCTTGGACCCAGATTCTGTGTGGAAGGGTATAGGATTCTGAAGCTGGAAGGCATTTTTATGATTACACCAATAGCTGACACTTCTTTCTCATCACTTATTTCTCCCTCCTTTTCACTTCTCCCTCAGGAAAGGGGAAATGTGGGTAAGGAAGAAAAATGATTAGTCCTTTAGATACTCCATATCGCTGCCTTCCAACAGCACCCCCCTCCCACGGAAGGTTAACCTAGTTTTAACATTGAGGGGGAATACACACACTAAAAAGGCACCAGACGTTTCTGGTTTTGGCAACTTGGTAGAGATAACCTAGATGGCTTTTTCCCATTGCAGACTCAGA